CCCCAACAGTCCTCCGGAGACACACTACAGACCTGCCCGAGGCCCTTAGGGTCAAGTCTCTAGCACAGCTCGGCTGGGTCCAGTCTCCCCACATTGTCCTCAGTGACCGGGGAGCTTGGTGGGGTGCCCCTTCTGTCAGAGAGGCCGGGTCTGCCCCAGCACCTGGAACCTCCACAAAATGCCTGTTCATTGGCCACAAACACATAAGCTACTTAGTTCTACAAAGCTGGAGAATCAGATACTTAGAATAACTCCTTTTTATTTCCCCAACATTTAGGGTTATACAAATGTAGTGGTTATATCATTTGTTCAGAGGGCGTTTCAACCAAAAACTGATGGAGCAATTTAAGCCCAGCCAGCGGGCCCCTCCCTCCAGGGTGGCCTCAGGGACAGCTCTTTGCTCAGTGGGTCTCCACCAGCCTCATGCCACGACCCTTTCATACAGTTCATGTGGGTGACCCCACCCAGAAAGTTATTTTCATTGCTACTTCATCACTGTAATTCTGCTACTGTTATGAATTGGGCGACCCCTGTGAAAGGGTCATTTTACCCCCAAAGGGGTCGCGACCCACCGGCTGAGAACCACTGTCTTTGCTGCTTCCAGGCCACATTCCCGCAGGGACCACTGGGAGGATGTTTCCGTCTGTCGTGCACAGGGTCGGACGGAGCCCACTGGACAGCGCGCAGCGACTGTGGCAGCAGCAACACAGCCACGTGGCCCCACTGCTTTCTTTGACAGGGGCCGTCTGAGAGGCACTCGGGTCCAGCTTCTGTCCAGCGTGACTTTAAGCAAGAGAACCCGGAAAGGATCTGTCATCGTCGAGGTGTTTCTCTCTAGCTGCCGGGCGTCTCCGTGGAGCAAGTCTGACACGGGAAGAAACCGGGGGCCGTGCAGGGGGGCAGAGCAGCAGCAGGTCTCAGACCATAGACCCGGGCCACGGTGGTTCCGAACCCAGGAGCCCCTCTGGGACAGACACACAGGGCCTGGGCCTTCAGTCTGGCCAGAGAGCAGGGACGTGGGTGTGGGGGGGCTGGGGAGCACAGCTTCTTCCTCAAGCAGGAAGAGAGGGACCTGAGGCCCAGCCAGGGGTGAGAGACCGTGGACCTGTTGTGGAGCAGAGACCTCCTGGGTGCTACAGGGAGATGAGATGGGGTGGGGACCCGGACCAGTGTAACAGTTGGTGCCAACACAACCCTCACTCACCTCTCTGCCCCGCTCTCTGTGGCCTTCCAACGGCCACAGCTCAGAGGAGCCTTGTTACGAGCACTGTGACCCCTCTCTTCCCTACATCGGCTGCACGCTCAGCACTGCTTCGGCTGTGGTGAGTGGCTCCACATGGGGTCCGGTAACTGCATGGGGTGTGTGTGTGAAACATTGACAATGGGAAAGGTTTCTGACTGGCAGTGACCGAGATGCAATTCCAAATGAAAGGTATCACGGCTCCGAGGTATCTCTGTCAGGGCCTGCCCGTGTGTCTGGTTGCAAAATCATTGCAGCCTTGGGCCTGAACATGCAACATGCACTCATAGCCCAAACCAAGACCAGCCCCAGAGGTGGTGTTTCCAATACTATCAACACCCTGAACTTCATTACAAGCCGTGGTTGATTTGCCTGTTTATTTTGCATACCTACCTACCTGTTCTTGTTCGTGTTGTTGTTAGATGAAATCAAGTCGGCTCTGACCCATAGTGACGCTGTGCACTACAGAACAAGACACTGCTGGGTCCTGCGCCAACCTCACAGTGGTTCCTGGGCCCGAGCCCATGGTTGCAGCCACTGCAACCTGCCTCTTCGAGGACCCTCCACATTGTCAGACATCATGTCCTTCTCCAGGGCCTGGTCTCTCCTCACAGTATGTCCAAAGTATGGAAGACGACGAAGTCTCGACATCTTTGCCTCTAAGGAGCACTCTGGCCTCACTTCTTCCAAGACCGATCAGTCTGCCCTTTTAGCAGTCCATGGGACTGTCAACATTCTTCTACAGCCCCACACTTCAAATGCATCCATTCTCCTGTGCTCTTCCTTATTCAGTGTCCAGCTTCCAGAGCACATCATGCTGCGTCAGGTGTACCTGAGGTCTCAAAGTAATGCTCTTCAAGGTTCTAAAGAGGTCTCGTGCCGCAGATTGACCTAATGCAATACATCTTTTGAGCTCTTGACTGCTGCTTCCCTAAGCATCGATTGTGGATCCAAGTAAGACAGAATCCTTGACAGCATCAATCTTTCCTCCACTTACCATGATGCCACCTATTGGTCCAGCGGTGAGGATTTTGCTCTTTCGGACGTTGAGTTGTAATCCATCCAGAAGCACAACCCTGGAACTTCACCAGCAAGTGCTTCAACTCTGCTTTCAGCAGCAAGGGTGTGGCACCAGGTCGTGGACAGGCCTTCCTCCAGTCCTGGTGCTGCACTCTTCTTCACGCCAGCTTCTCTGAGGGTGTGCTCCGCACAGAGATTGAAGTGTGGTGAGAGGACACAACCCTGACACACACCTTCCCAGATTGTAAACCGTGCCGCATTTCCTTGTTCTGCTTGAGCAACTGCTTCTTGCCCTATGGATAAGTTCCAAATTAGCACAATGAAGGGTTCTGCAATTCCTGTTCCTCTCAAGGTTATCCAGTTTGTTCTGGTCCACACAGTCGAATGCCTTCGCATAGTCAATGGAACACAAGTAAACCTTTTTCTGGTACTCTCTGCTTTGAGCCAAGATCCATCTGGCTTCAGCGATGATAGCCCTTGTTGCACATCCTCTTCTGGATCCGGCCTGTATGTCTGGCAGTATCCTGTCAATGTGTTGCTTCAATCATTGTTTAACGATCTTAAGCAAAATTTTACTTGTATGTGACGTCAATGATACTGTTATACACGTTGAGCAATCTGTTGGGTCACCTATCTTTGGAACGGGCACAGATATGGGTCTCTTCCAGTCAGTTGGCCAGGTAGCCGCCTTCCAGATTTCCTGGCACAGCTGAGTGAGTGCTTCCAGTGCTTCTTCAGCTTTTGGAAACATTTGAATGGGTATGCTGTCAATTCCTGGGGTCTTGTTTTTGGCTAATGCATTCAGCGCAGCTTGAACTTCACCCACCACTTGTCTGTCAGTCTGTCGCCGTGGAGGCTCGTGTGTTGCTGCGATGCTGGACGCTGGTCACTGGCATTTCACACGCTGGCAGCGTCACCGGAAGTGAACAGGTTCCAGCAGAGCTTCCAGACTAAGAGCAGACAGTGAAGAAGGTCTTGGCTCCCAACTTTGGAGGAAGAAGCAGCTGAAAACCTCATACATTGCTTAGGAGATTTTCAAACACTGTATACCTGGGTTATGTAAAAAATTCTTGGGTGAAAAGGGTATCCACTGGAAAAGTTTAAATTCATGTGCCAGAATTGACCTGATAGCAACAGGTGATGAAAACTAATAAGCTAAACATAGGGCGTGGGACAGGTGTAGTGGAAACGATAAGAAACTGCCTCTGAACCCAATTCAGGCTGGTGGGGGACACCACTTAGGCTGCCCCCAGCACCATGGGGGGGCCCCACGGGGGGATAGGGCAGGTTGTCTGGTGGTCCTCCTCAGCCTGTGTGCTCCAGTGTTCATCAACAATAACACTTCAAGATCTATGTTGAGCTACAATGCTGTCTGTGATTAAAGAACCTCTCTGCTGTCGAGTCAGTGCTGACTCACAGGGACCAGGAGCACAGGGTGGAACTGCCCCTGTGGGTTTCCGAGACTGTCACTCTTCACGGGAGTAGAAAGGCCTCTCTTTCTCCCATGGGGCTGCTGCTGGTGGCTTCAAACTCTCGACTTTGTGGACCTCAGCCCAAACCATAACCACTACACCAACTCTAATTAGTATGAATATTTTTCAAGTTTATGCATTAACCACTAAAGCTAATGAAGCAGAAATTGAAGAATTTTACCAATGTTTTCAGTTTGTAAGGGATCAAACATGCAATCAAGACACATTGAACATTGCCGGTGGTTGGAATACAAAAGTTGGATACAGAGGAAGGATTGGCAGTTGGAAAATGTGCTCTTGGTGACAGAAATGAAGCTGAGATCCCATGTGAAAGTTAGATTTATTGTGCCAACTGGGCTTCTGTAGGAACATGTGGGCGGAGTTTAATCAGGCCACAGCTTGATCAGAGGGTGACAAAAACAAATGGCTTTCCAAGGCTGGCTTTTCCCTCTCTTTCTCCCTTGTGATCTGACCAGTGTGCTGCTGCCTGAACTAGTCCTTAGCATCCACCATGTGCTGCACTTCCTGTGGGCTGAGCCAACCCATGGATTGAGTTGCCTTGCTGTGCATTGTTAGAGCTTGTGGCTCTATCAGCACCAGCTTCACTATGCTCCTGGCCTGTGCTGCATCTCAATTTCTCATCTTCCTGTCATGGCTGCTCCACCCGGGTGGTGTCTGCTGCCTGTTGACTGAGTCTGCTCGTCTTGCTTGAGGGCAGATTCCACTGTCTGCTTTCTTGACCTTGGACCAGCAGCCAGAGTGAGTTGAAGGATCTTCAGTATATTAACTCTTCCATGAAAGTAAAGTAATTTGAACTGAGCCCTCTGTACTGCTGTGTGGACTAACTAGCTGTTGTATTCCTTCTCACTATAGAAATCTATCTATCTATCTATCTATCTATCT